TGTTATTCTCCTTTACTTAGAAAACGTTTTATTTTGTCCGATGTCACTTTTATTAAGTCTTCCATTTATTACCCATTATCTTCGTTGATACCCCTCGTTTATGGACTTCAACTTATATCTCCGACCCATCCTTCTAAATACTCCCATTTCCCCAACATCTGATGAGCATCCACATTGTCCTAGACCTCCTTCCATTGAGCTTATTGTGGCCACGCCTCGTGATTCCCCTACCACGGATCCAGTATCATCACCGTCAGAGGTTGTAGCACGCCTCGTGAACCTACTCAGAGTGATTTGCCCATTGCCCTCCGAAAAGGTACGCACTCTACTTTGAATTTGCATCCATATATAACTTTTTGAGTTATCACCGCCTCTCTACCCCTTACTTTGCTTTCATTTCACACCTGTCTCAAACCTCCATTCCTAAAACCACACATGAGGCCTTGGCACATCCGGAATGGCGTAAAGCTATGTTGGCGGAGATGGATGCTCTTCATTCAAGTGGGACGTGGGATTTAGTCTCCCTTTCAACTGGAAAATCAGCTATTGAGTGTCGATGGATATACACTGGCAAAGTTGGCCCTGATGGTAAAATTGATCATTTTAAAGCACGCATTGTGGCGAAAGGGTACACTCAGATCTATGCGTTAGATTACGCTGGCACATTTTCTCCTATTGCTAAGATAGCTTTTGTTCATTTGATTTTATCCATGGCGGCAATGAGCTGAGTCATTGGCCCTTGTTTCAGTTGGATATTAAAAATGCATTTCTTCATGGTGATCTACACGAGGTGGTCTATATGGAGCAACCGCCTGGCTTTGTTGCTCAGGGGTAGTCAGGTTTGATGTGCAGATTATGTCATTCATTATATTACTTGAAACAATCTCCACGTGCATGGTTTGGGAGGTTTAGTGCTGTTATTCGTGGATTTGGAATGATTCGAAGAGATGTCGATCATTCTATATTCTATAGACATTTTGCAGGCGATAAATGCATATAACTTGTTGTGTATGTTGATGATATTGTCATTACATGTAGTGATGAATAAGGAATTGCACTCCTTAAACAATACTCCCTCCGTCCCAAAACGATGGTCCTGTATTTCCTTTTTGGGATGTCCAAAAATGATGGTCTTGTTTCCCTTTCGGTAAAGAACTAAAACTGGATTACCATTTATACCCGTCCTTTTTAATGAACAGTAAAAGTAAAAGGATGAACAATACAATAAAGTAAGGTTTTTTAGTTTTTCTACTACACTTTCTTAATGTTGTGCCCAAAAGAACAAGACCATCAATTCGGGACAGAAGGAATATCTTTTTAACAAACTCCAAACAAAAGAATTGGGAAAGCTAAGGTACTTCCTTGGCATTGAGGTCACACAGTCTCAAAACGGAATCGTCTTCTCACAAAGAAGATATGCCTTGGACATTCTTGAAGATACATGCATGCTAGAGTGTAGACCATTGGATACATCAATTGATCCAAACGTCAAACTCTTGTCAGAGTAAGGAGACCCTTTGCCCAAAAATGGAAAATATAGAAGACTCAATGGTAGACTAAATTACCTGACCATCACAAGATCAGATATTTCATTTGCGGTAAGTGTTCTTAGTCAATTTCTTGATAAGCCATGTAATGGTCATTGGGGTGCAACTATTCGAGTCTTGGGATACATCAAGAAAACATCAGGACAAGGGTTGCTATTCGAAGACCGAGGTCACCGTGATATTGTGGGATATTGTGATGTAGATTGGGTAGGATGTGCGATGGATATACGTTCTTGTGGTTGCCAGATCCAGTGCTGAAGCATTATATCGTGTGATGGCCCTTGCTACATGCGAAATCTTGTGGTTGAAGCATCTCCTCCAAGAACTAAACTATGGGAGCACAAAATCGGTTCAATTATTGTGTGACCATCAAGGCGCAATGCACATTGCATCGAATCTGATATATCATGAGAGGACTAAACACATTGAAGTTGATTGTCACTTTATTCGAGAAAAGATCACATATGGATATATTTTCACAACATGTGTCAACACAACTGATCAACTTACAGATGTTTTAACCAAGTCTGTTAGAGGTCCTAGAGTAGAGTATATTTGTAACAAGCTTGGTGTATATGATTTATATGCTCCAATTTGAGGGGGGGGGGGACCCTAGTTGTATTGGGCTTAGCCCATTTGTGTTAAAACCCCTAATGCTCTAATATTGCTATAAATAGAGCTACTTGTATAGCATTTCAATATGAAGTATAATGAATACCCTCTTATATTTCACATAGATCAATTCACTTAAGTTAGATTTAGTACCTTTGGTATCTATGGGTAGAATCACCAACTATAATTGTCAAATTATACAATCTTTTTTGGTTCTGAAGTCTGAACCTATTAGTTTGCACAGTCTCTATTGTGCAACAAAGAACAATTAAAGTAGAGATAATTGTCTAAACGGGAATAAAAACGTTTTGAAATTACAAAATAGAACTATCATGTTTTTATTCCCTGAATAGGAGTAAATTTCTGCCAAGTTTGACATTACTAGGCTTTAAACATGGAATTTTTTCCAAACTTGGCAGATTACTCATATTCAAGGAATAAAAAATATGATAGTCCTATTTTGGAAGTTCAAAACGTTTTTACTCCTATTTAGAGCAATTTATGTTCAAAGTACCACTCCTATAAATTATAAGCTAAAACCATGAAATTAAATTTCAATGACAGAGGAGGATCTAATTTTTTGTATTAAAACCAATACTATATACTCCCTCCGTCCTTTATAACTTTGTCAACTTTCCTTTTTTGGATATCCCATTAACTTTGGCACTTTCCATTTTAAAAGTAAAGAATTTGTGGTTCCAGTTAATTTTCTTTCATCTACACAAACCTCAACTACACCAGTCCGTATACCGTGCAACCGGTGCATGGTGAGCACCGTACTCCCAGGGATAAAATTCGCGTGAACAGTACACTTGCATTTGTCTCAATTTTTTTCGTGATGTAAATCCTTTGTTTTGATATGTAACTCACGCTATTGTTAAATGTAAATACAGTGTATTCAAATGTAACTCATCGTAGTGTAACTCACATTATGGAAAGTGTAAATCATGTGTAAACAAGATGTAACTTGCAGAGGAAAATTCACATGTAACTCACTCTTCAGAAGATGTAACTCGCGCTTCAAAATATGTAACTCACGCTTCAGAAGATGTAACTCGCTTATAAAAAGGTGGAACTTCAATTATTAAACAGACACATATATATACATACATATAAATTGTCTGATCATTCATGTAAGGTAAATAAAAGCAAAGATCACTTCTGCCAGTAAAGAAGACAAGCCATTGGTGGAGAATTAAATATTATCATGGGCACTAGCTAGTTAACGATCTGCTTCCTTCTCACGTTCAGCAACAAGGAGCACCGTTGCTAATCATGGGCACCAGCTGGTTAACGATCTGCAACAAGTAGGGCAGAGCACGGGTCGGGTTCGGGCGGGTCGGGTTTAAAAATGGTAAACATGTTCGGGTATCGGATTGATAATTTCAAACCCTACCCGATCAAAAAAATTATCGGGTTTTTCGGGTTGAAGAAGTTCGGGTTTCGGTCGGGTTGGTTCGGTCTTCGGGTCCATTCGGATTTTAATTTATTATTGTTGAAATTGTGATAAATAAAATGGTACTCCGTATTTGATAAAATATCATTCAAAGTTATACTAGTATAACATTCAAAACAATAGTTGTATAAATACGGTAATCGGCATATTTGAACATGTAAAATAATAATATACGGTGATTGGCATATTTGATATTATTGTGATAAATAAAATGATAATTGGTCAAAATATCATTCAAAATCATAACAATACAATATTCAAAGTTATAGTTTTACAAATACGGCAATTGGAATATTTGAATATGCATAATTTGGTAATTGGCATACAATAATTGAGATATTTTGAACATGCATAATAATTCAAAGTATTATATATACTACTCTAGTTCGGATTTTCGGGCAGGTCGGGTAGCATAATTGGTAACCCTACCCGTTACCCGCTTAACTCTCGGGTTGCAAAAATCGGATCGGGTTTGGGTCATTCGGGTCGGGTTATCCGACCCAAAAAATAAAATCGGATATATCCGATCGGGTCAATCGGGTAGGGTCGGGTTTGCTCTCCCCTAGCAACAAGGAGCACCGTTGCTTTCTAGTTCGATGGATTAATGGAATAATAGCTGAATCCTTTTGCCGGCTTGTCTTGCTTCTTGCGTCGCTGCGTAATAACAAAGTCGGCGGCGCCGGTGAACTATACGGAACAAGCAGCCCCCTTTTTAATTAATAAAACGGTGCCGTATTATGACCAGGCATACCATGCGCATGGTATGCCGGTCATACGGTATAATTTGCGCAACTACACAGTTTTTACTTTATTAATCCATGTGTCGGTCAAACTTGGCAAAGTTATTAGGGAGAAGGGAGTATGTTAAAGTTTTAATTATGACTACAGTACACATACGGCCCAAAGATTTGTAGGAGTATTAATTTTATATATTTATTTCCTAAATAAATCCTTTCCATAATTTGTAATGGAGTGAACGACTCATTATTTTTTAACTTGGAAGAATGATGGAATAAAGCAAAATGACTCACTAAATTGTTTGTGCTTCTTTATAAAGAAACAACAATAATTTCATGCAATTTTCGACACAATTTTCACTAGGAGTCATTCGAAAACATTATATGCTTAATAGGGGAATGTTGTGTATATCTGATCCCTACTCCAATGTAGATGTAAGCTTTTATGCCGTGAAGTGATGATGAATGGTGATGGTGATTTCCTAAATAAATCCCAATTACTTAATTTAAGGGTATTTAATTTAATACTAAAAAGCAATGAAAAGTAAAATGCAAAGAATATTAGCAAGAAAAATTCAATGTGGTGGGGAAGAGTGCATATGTGTACAAAACAGATCCAGCTATTAAGGATACTATCCACTCTGTCACTCTCGTCTATTTACCTTCCTCCCAACTACGTAGTACCTACTTATATCTTTCTCTCTCTCTCCTTCCTCTTCAACGCTTCTCTTTCTCAATTTCTCCAGCTATTCCCCTAGTTAGCTGATCTGTTTATCCATGGCGGAGGCGGAAGCCACCAAGGAGTTGCCCGTGGAACACCACCCGCCGCCGACGACGACGCCTCCAGAACCCGAACCAGTTGTAGCCGCTCCAAAAGAAGTAGCCGAAGAGAAAGCGGTTGTTGCTCCCTCTCTTCCTTCTCATCCTGAAGAAGAAAAGGAGAAGGATAAACCAGCTGATGAATCCAAAGCTATCGTCCTTGTTGAGCACAGTATCTACTCTCTCTCTCTTTCTCTCTGATTTTGAAATTTGTGTACTGTAAAATCAGCGAGTTTTCATTATTTCTGTTCCTATGCTTGATATCGAAGGACTATTTTGGGATTCGATGGATTCATATGTGGAACTGAAAAGATCAGGATGATATAGGAGCTTCCTGAATGTGCAATTCAAATTCATCAGTTGTCGGTTAAGCCAAAAAGTCCCAAAATAGGCCAAAAATAGTCCCAAAATTCGATAAAAGTTCTGTCCCAAAATAGTTGTCATTTAAAAAATCTCTGAACTTGCATCAAGGTTGTCTTCCTCTCAATTCCCAGATAGTCCTTTTCATTTATTGTCTTAGGAAATAAAGACTGGTGCTTTTTTGTTCTCATTTCAAACCAAAATTAAAGACAAATTAAATGCAAAAAGTAGGTTATTGGTTGTCAGCATGTCTTTAAAATCTTGTTTTTGGCAACTAAAGTTTTCTTTTTATTTTGAGTAATTGTTACTGAAGAGTTCAATATTAGGCGAGGTAAGATAGGAAGCTATCGAGGAACCAACATGAGAACAACCAATATTAGGACAGAACAACCAAATCATGATTGTCCAATTGAGTCATTTCCTGAAAGAGCAACTAGAACTCATAAATCATAATACAATGCATCACATTTAAAACTTTATTTTCCCTTGCAGAAGAAGCTACAGAACCAGAACATGTGGAAGAGAAAAAAGAGGGAGGGTCCCTTGATAGAGGTACAAGTATAAATCACAATACATGATGCCTCTATTTCGATACTTTTGGTGTTCACTGACAGCTTTAATGGATCCAATGACAGATGTAGTGCTTGCTCGAGTAGCTAAAGAAAAGAAGCATGCCCTCATCAAAGCCTGGGAAGAAAGTGAAAAAGCAAAAGCTGAGAACAAGTAACTAACTGCCTGTAATTTGTTTAAGTCATCCACATCATAGAACAAGTATTAAATGCATGCTAAGTACTTGGTCGTAATAGAGAACATGCTATAAAACAAGTAACTCTTAAAATGCTATGAGAACATCTGAACATGTTAATCTGTAAGGACTCAAACAGGTATTTCATTATAATTAAGCCTATAAAACGAGTATACAGATTTCTAGATTGAACTACTTCAACTGACTATCATTTAGGAGAAATTTCAACCCATCCTGCACCGAACAAATATAAAATATACTCCTTTGGGCATTGAATACTTCAGTTAGATCAGCTATTTCCTTGTTTTGGACTTTGCCATATCCTCCTTTTGGATGATCATCAGAACTGTCATTTGTTCTAGCTATATTTCAGTTCAGATTTAACTTGGCATTTGGTTTTACTTTCTATAAGTGTTAATGGGTTCGAGGTCCGCTGAGTTACACTAAACTAATTTAATGATTGTGATTGATGACAGAGCCCACAAGAAGCTATCTGAAATTGGTTCATGGGAAAACAAAAAGAAAGCAGATATAGAAGCTGAGCTGAAAAAGATTGAGGTGAATAAGACCAAATTATGTCTTTCATTGTTCCATTTTTCTATACCAGTATTTGCAGCTTCTTTGAAATGCTTGTTCCCTTCCACTCCATGTGATAAGAACAGGAAAATAACAATCAACGGGGTAACCCGTTGCCCAGAATAATCAACGGCTGGATCCGTTGCCCAAGCTACTGTAGCTAATGAATCTGAATTTTATTCCCGATGATCATTTGAATAGCGCTGCATAGGGTATAAATAATACTCCTTACAACCCAGTTCTAGGAGGAAACAAACTAAAGTAATTAATTGTGCGTAGCATACTGCCTAGTGGGAATAGGAGACTTACGTACCAAGACTTACGTACATAAGGAAAATCCTAATGTAACAAGAAGTAATAATAAAAGAAAACACATAAATAAAAGAAATTAAATTAATTAACCAGCACATGTATAATCCAGCCCATAACCAGCCCACGGAAGTGGGCCCAAGCCCGGTCCCGCCCCATGCTCTTCCCGCTTCATATCAATTCATCCTCCTTCAAATTAACCTTGTCCTCAAGGTTGAAAACTTGCAGAATGGGTATTGAAATTTCTAGCCATAGAATAGACTGGAAAATATCCTTCCTCTCCTTCCTGAACCCTTTCTTGGCCGGTTATTTCACAGTACTCATGTTGTTGGAGGTCCAACTCTTCATCCTCCTCAGCTATCATTACCCGCAACTGTTTAAAGGGACAGTCATGTCCTGGTGTAAATGGTTTCTTACACCTAAAGCATAATCCTTTCGCCCGCAATTCTGCTAACTCTTTCGGCGGAAGTCGAGTGAACTGAGGGCGTGTAGTAAGCTGCCTGGACAGTCCTGACTTCATCCCCGGGGGCTGTCCACTATCTTTCGAAAAGCTGTTATTCTCTTCTTGTATGCTGCCACCACTTGCAGTCAACGGAGGTCTTGTGATTGGCATTAAAAAGCTATTGGGACGTACCCCTGAAGAAGTATAATACGGGCTGCCACTTTCTCCACTTTGGATGGACAGATTATGCTCCACATCGCGAGCTAATTCCATAGCGGTTTCAAGGTTATGCGGTCGGAATAAGCGTAATGAACTCCGTATTGCTTCTTTAAGTCCGCTCATGTAATAGCATAGATAATGATCATCAGTCAGCCCCGGAACTTGGCTAGCCAATTGAACGAACAAGTCATTATACTCCTCCATGGTCCCAAGTTTTTTGATGCCAGACAATCGTTCAAATCGGTTCCCCTGGAATCGGGAATCGAATCTCGCTAAGGGCTTGCTTAAATTCTTCCCAAGTCATGCCGGGTTTACGCGCCTTCAACCAGGTTACCCAATAAAGGGCCCCTCCTTCCATGGACACCACGGCGGCTGCCACCTTTTTATCTGGTAGAGTTCCAATTAATTCGAATTGTTGTTCGACATGAGCTATCCATCCGATTGGGTCTGTTCCGTCAAATGCGGGTAACAAGGTTGGAGCCGGGTTGTGTAGCACTCCTTCTACGGTCGGCGATATCAAGGCGGATCCGACTCCTGCCGCAGCGGCAACCGGCGATTTCGGCGGCACCAGGGCCTGAGTCAGCGCGGCCAGAGAGGCGGCGATTTCCGTTAGCTTGGCACCGTGATCTGCCAGCTCAGCCCCCAGTCGGCCCACTTCCTCTCCCATTCGGTGTTGCTCAGTCTCTAACTCAGTCAATCGATCGTTCTGAGATCTCGTAATCCTGGCGGGACGGGATCCGGCAGGTCGGACCAATTGATAAGAACAGGAAAATAACAATCAACGGGGTAACCCGTTGCCCAGAATAATCAACGGCTGGATCCGTTGCCCAAGCTACTGTAGCTAATGAATCTGAATTTTATTCCCGATGATCATTTGAATAGCGCTGCATAGGGTATAAATAATACTCCTTACAACCCAGTTCTAGGAGGAAACAAACTAAAGTAATTAATTGTGCGTAGCATACTGCCTAGTGGGAATAGGAGACTTACGTACCAAGACTTACGTACATAAGGAAAATCCTAATGTAACAAGAAGTAATAATAAAAGAAAACACATAAATAAAAGAAATTAAATTAATTAACCAGCACATGTATAATCCAGCCCATAACCAGCCCACGGAAGTGGGCCCAAGCCCGGTCCCGCCCCATGCTCTTCCCGCTTCATATCAATTCATCCTCCTTCAAATTAACCTTGTCCTCAAGGTTGAAAACTTGCAGAATGGGTATTGAAATTTCTAGCCATAGAATAGACTGGAAAATATCCTTCCTCTCCTTCCTGAACCCTTTCTTGGCCGGTTATTTCACAGTACTCATGTTGTTGGAGGTCCAACTCTTCATCCTCCTCAGCTATCATTACCCGCAACTGTTTAAAGGGACAGTCATGTCCTGGTGTAAATGGTTTCTTACACCTAAAGCATAATCCTTTCGCCCGCAATTCTGCTAACTCTTTCGGCGGAAGTCGAGTGAACTGAGGGCGTGTAGTAAGCTGCCTGGACAGTCCTGACTTCATCCCCGGGGGCTGTCCACTATCTTTCGAAAAGCTGTTATTCTCTTCTTGTATGCTGCCACCACTTGCAGTCAACGGAGGTCTTGTGATTGGCATTAAAAAGCTATTGGGACGTACCCCTGAAGAAGTATAATACGGGCTGCCACTTTCTCCACTTTGGATGGACAGATTATGCTCCACATCGCGAGCTAATTCCATAGCGGTTTCAAGGTTATGCGGTCGGAATAAGCGTAATGAACTCCGTATTGCTTCTTTAAGTCCGCTCATGTAATAGCATAGATAATGATCATCAGTCAGCCCCGGAACTTGGCTAGCCAATTGAACGAACAAGTCATTATACTCCTCCATGGTCCCAAGTTTTTTGATGCCAGACAATCGTTCAAATCGGTTCCCCTGGAATCGGGAATCGAATCTCGCTAAGGGCTTGCTTAAATTCTTCCCAAGTCATGCCGGGTTTACGCGCCTTCAACCAGGTTACCCAATAAAGGGCCCCTCCTTCCATGGACACCACGGCGGCTGCCACCTTTTTATCTGGTAGAGTTCCAATTAATTCGAATTGTTGTTCGACATGAGCTATCCATCCGATTGGGTCTGTTCCGTCAAATGCGGGTAACAAGGTTGGAGCCGGGTTGTGTAGCACTCCTTCTACGGTCGGCGATATCAAGGCGGATCCGACTCCTGCCGCAGCGGCAACCGGCGATTTCGGCGGCACCAGGGCCTGAGTCAGCGCGGCCAGAGAGGCGGCGATTTCCGTTAGCTTGGCACCGTGATCTGCCAGCTCAGCCCCCAGTCGGCCCACTTCCTCTCCCATTCGGTGTTGCTCAGTCTCTAACTCAGTCAATCGATCGTTCTGAGATCTCGTAATCCTGGCGGGACGGGATCCGGCAGGTCGGACCAATTGATAAGAACAGGAAAATAACAATCAACGGGGTAACCCGTTGCCCAGAATAATCAACGGCTGGATCCGTTGCCCAAGCTACTGTAGCTAATGAATCTGAATTTTATTCCCGATGATCATTTGAATAGCGCTGCATAGGGTATAAATAATACTCCTTACAACCCAGTTCTAGGAGGAAACAAACTAAAGTAATTAATTGTGCGTAGCATACTGCCTAGTGGGAATAGGAGACTTACGTACCAAGACTTACGTACATAAGGAAAATCCTAATGTAACAAGAAGTAATAATAAAAGAAAACACATAAATAAAAGAAATTAAATTAATTAACCAGCACATGTATAATCCAGCCCATAACCAGCCCACGGAAGTGGGCCCAAGCCCGGTCCCGCCCCATGCTCTTCCCGCTTCATATCACCATGGTTTCCGGGACATGGACTATAACGACTTCTCATAACCCAGGATCATTTAATACATTGGGTTGTTTTCCTTCACTATTGCGATAGTAATACTAATGGCAAATTTGTGACTACTTTTTGAACATTCTAAGAATTAAACTAAATATGTCACTTTTATGAATCATTAGCAACAACTGGTTGACGGTTTTTTCTGACAAATTTTCTAAAATATTTTGTTGGTTGGCTGCAGCAGTAACAGTTCACAAGTTGTAGGAGAGAAAATTAGGATTTGAGATAATTTAGTTCTACTTTAATCAGTTTTTGGAAGTATTGAAAGTGGTCTTATTTTTGTTTATTGAAAAGCTAGGGATTATTTTGCATGTTCTCTTATGTCTTTATCATGCCAAAACTAGTTTATCTCTAATATTTGTAAAGTATTGTATAAAATCAAGTAATTTAGAAGTTACTATTTAAACTTATCAGGCAACAAGTGACTTATCAACTATCATCAGGTAGCTCTCACTTAATCTCGAATGATCGATTGCTTTTTGAACCCTGTGAATTCGGTGAAAGTATAAGACTCAAAATTTGTGGGTCAAACAGTTTTAAAAACCGTTCTTGGGAGACTAAAATATGAATGGAAGATCCGATTGAATTGAATTGGGTCCATGAATCTACAAAACCAAAAAAGTTATCATCAGGTAGCTTGGAAGGTCCTTTTCCCAAACAATATACTCTGTATATTGTTGCCTGTGTTGGTAAGTACTCCGTATTAAGACTATTAACTGATAAGTGATAAGCGAGCTTTGAAATACAAAACCAGGTTGAGAGTATGTTTAAAATCATTTTAAAAGAATAAGAAAAGGTTAAAAGTGTTGAAAGTGCAAATGTGACATGAGAGAGATAGACACAAAAAATTAATTTATGTCATTTCTCTCTCTTTGACAAGTTGTTCAGACACAAAACTCTAATTTAGACCATGTTCATAAAGCCACTTCAGCTCATTTTAAATTGAGCTGAAGTGGTTTCACATGTAATCTTCTTTAGATGAAGTGCTACAGAGGAGTAAAGAAAAAATCAATCAGTTCATTTTGAATCATTATTCATTTGAGCATTTCAGTGCAATCAATTAACTTACCGTAAGTTTATGTCGATTTTATCTTATGGTAATTTTTACATTTTCCAGTTGCAATTTCAAAATCTAACAAAATATTGTTTACTTCATTTAGCTGACAATTTGGTTTCAACAACTTTTTCCAGCTAAAGACAATAGTCTCTAGTTCAATCGATAGCCTTTAGCTTTAGCTCTTCTTCTAAATATAGACTTGATAAATTTGAACTTATCAAAGAAGGTTTTGAACTTAACACAGCCTATTTGAAGAGCATTCTCTTAAAAAGGCTAATGGCTAACTTATGGCATGTCAAAAATAGCCCTAGTGTTTGTCTAAAGTAACTAATAAACTAGCCTTAGTATTACAAAAGAATATAAACAAGCCTTAGTATTACTAAAGGATATGAACTAGCCTTAGTAAACGAGGAATAGGTCATAAGTAAAATTATAAAAGAGAAGCCCACATAGATATAATTGAAAATCCACACAAGGAAGCTTATCAAGATAACTTCATCCAACCAAAGAGAATTTATTTAATTAAAACGATTAGCATAGCGGAAAAATAATAGCCAACATATAAATTAGCTTTGAAAAACTTATAAAGTAGTAGCTAACATATAGATATATTTTGCCAAATGTCATGTTAAACAAAACCTTGACCTCAATTACTCTACCCTTGACTACTTGAGCAGGAGAAGTTGGAGATACAAAAGGCGGAATATATAGAGAAAATGAAAAACAAGATTGCAATGCTTCACAGGGGAGCAGAGGAAAAGAGAGCAATGATTGAAGCAAAACGAGGAGAAGACCTTCTTAAGGCAGAGGAGTTGGCAGCCAAACACCGTGCCACTGGAACTCTTCCAACCAAAGCGTGTGGGTGCTTCTGAGGCTTTGGAATTGTGTTTGTAAAGTCTGTGTGGTGATATTTATTGTATGCAGTTTATTTAGAAGTGTTGTGAGGTGATGCTGTAGAAACAATACAAAATTTGTTGTTCATTGCTATAGTGTGCATAGTGATGTATTTGATAGTATATAATTATATAAATAACAGATAAAAAACTAAAACAAGGGTTGTACAAGTGTGGAAGTTTTTCTCATCACTCAAAGGTGCAAATCTGTAAGATCAGCAATGGCGTAGAGTAGTAATTGGAGACTTGGAGTAGTGTAACTCAATTGAAAGACATCTTGGAGATGTAATAAGGTGACATCATATTTTGGTCTATTAAAACTTCATCTGACTGTCACGAGGTTATAACTTGAAGTAGGCCTGGACTCGAGCCGGTTCGGGCCCGGGCCGGGCCTAGGCCCGGTCGGACCGGCGGTTCTGGAATGGGGGGCCCGGAACCGGCCCGTGTACTCCCCGGGTCCGAGTTGGGCCGGGCCGAGCCTCGGGCCTTTGTTATTTTTTTTTTCCTTTTCCTAGATAACCCCCAACCCCCCTCACCCCCAAACCATCCCAAACCACCCCAAATGGCCCAAAATACCCAACCCAACCCGAAAACTAACAAAAATTGAAAAAAAAAAATTAAAAAGGCCCGGAACCGGGCCCAAACTGGCCAGGCCGGTTCGTGATTTAGGGGGCCTGAGCCCGGACCCACAATAGAGCAACTCATTGTTTAGGATACCTATTATATAAAAATTCCTAGTTTTGTAATGTTTAATTATCTTTATTAGATAATTTGTACTCGATTTTGTAAAATATCAATAATATTAAATATCAGACACAATAGTTAAATAGTTTTTAGATCATTTAATGTGAATCCAATTAAATTAAACAATCAATTTACTTCTTACTTTGTAAAACCAATTTGTTGCATAGATAGTAAACTTTAACTTATTTTAGCCTTAATTCAAATATAATATGCATCATGTATATATGAATTATCAATACTACATATCATATTATTCTAAAATTAATATTCTCATAACAAAATATTAAGAGAATTCCTTGTGATCCACGAATACCCTCCTTCATAGACAAAAATTGCAATTCAAACCCCGATTCTTTATTCTGATAAGATTCATGTGGTTAAACAAAACATAAGTTATTCAAAAAGCAGCAGTTTATGTGTACATTTTAAACTTTTTACCTTCAAATAATTTGATAAAATGTTATAGCCTTTCTTATTTTCAAATAATTTTCTAGAGCACTTAGAATTATTAAACAAAGTTATTTTTCCACTGTCTAAACTTTGAATGTAATAGATTAAATGTCATCGTGTATTTACTTGTAGAATTTTTTGAACAAAAATTAGCCGCAGAGTCTTACACTAGCGGAAAGAATTCGCTCCGCTACACTAACGAAAAAATTTCACCTAGCAACACTTGCGAAAAAAAAATTCGCCGTGCTACACTAGAGGAAAAATTTTCAGCCCCTACACTAATGGAAAAAAATTCGCCCATCTTGACTCGAAATCCTGGATCCGTCCCTTAAATGTATGTATATATTTGGACGGTGTGATGACTTGTTAGTTATTTCCGTAAGATGGTGGTTCATTGAAGTCATGAAGTGAGACAATTTTCAAAGCCATTGATCATCTTTGAGGTTTAGTATGATCTAAATGCTCGTTGATGTATGACTTTCGATACTATGAAGGAGATATTTCTTCTTAATGAATACAAAAGGTATATTAATGTATATTAGTATGTATACATGCATGAGTGCACTCTAGTTTAGAGATCGACAAGTATTATTCCCTCCGTCCCAATATAAAGAGCACATTTGCGTTTTCAAACTTTTTTTAGGAGGAACACTGTTTGACACTGTTTTGTTTGCCAAAAGGGAAATATGCCTTTTATATTGGGACATCCCAAAAAGGAATATGTACTTTTTATATTGGGACGGAGGGAGTATTATACTGAGTGAACTCATTTACCACCCAAACGCTAGGGGCAGCATGTTTGCTGAAAGATAAAAGAATTAACTATATCATATTAGTGCCACAGACTTTTTTTTTTGCAACTGACTATTAATTAGGACTTACGAAATCTTTTAAAAGATGCAATTATCATGTAATCGTGAATAAACACTAAATTTATAGAAATTAAAGAAGTATTTAGTATGGTTAATGTATGGTCTCTGTGTATTTTATAACTATCGAAGTTTGGTCAGCAGGTCAGGTATTCTGATCTGATCTAGTCTTGTCTAGTCTAGGACTGAAACAAGTTCAAATAAAAAAACATCCTTAAACCTATTTGAAATCCTATTAAGCTAGTGGACCAAAGAAGCATGTGAATTTTAATTTGGTAAAAAAAACTTGTTATTTCAATGTCACCCTCTTTTACATGTATCAAGTAGCTTTAGAGTAAAAAGGTGGTCGACTCCCTAGTTATCTAGGGTTAGGTTTGTTGTGCCATACTGCTTCGTTCGACGAGGGGTGCGCTCTTCGAATAGGCGTTTTTGGCGAAGGCAGGGAAGTAGATCATCGTCTTTGTCCAGAGTGTTGGGTGGCTAGCCGGTGGTTGCAAGAACGAAGAAAGGAAGATGGAAGAAATTGCTAACAAATATAAGGATATGGCTATCGGGGATCAAGAGGGCTGATTTTCGAGGATGAGCCACTTGAGGATGAAGGAGGCTCGGTCGTAGGAGACGTATCTCCGGTAGTGGGGACCGTGATCACAGACCGGATGGTGAAATTCCCAGTTCTTCGAGATCTCATGGCCTCACTCTGGAGGTCAGGTAAAGGTATTTCAATAAAGGAGATCGGCGAAAAGAGGTACTCCCTCCGTCCCATTAGGAGGTTCCAATTGCGGTTTACGATGCTTGACTGACGATAAAGCAACTTAATCCCTGTTCACACTCTGATTATTTTTAGTAAATAAAATTTACATATTCAGAAACTACATTAAAACCGCTACAAAGCCTGATAAAAAAATGTAAGTTTGATAAAAAAAATTGATATATAAACTAAAAGATTAAGAATGATTTAAGTTGACCATGTGAATAGTGTATGGGAACCTTTAAATGGGACGGAGGGAGTAATATCCTCCATTTTTTTTAATCGCAACATATTGAATTTTACACTATTCACATGTTCTACTTTGTTCAATTCATCTCATTACAAATTTTCAAAATCTGATTTTTAATTATTTTTTACTAATAGAGATTAAGATATAATTACGGTCAAAGACGTGTGTTGGCAAGTGTGCAATGTTGACCGTTGCAACTAAAAAAGAACGGAGGAACTATATGTTTACTTTCTATCATTATATTGATATGTAACGTGTTCTTCAAGAAGGGTCGTGGATTTTTTAGCAGAATTTGTTAATACTTCGGGCACTTAAGCCTTTAGATATTCCTCTTCGTGTGCCTCTGAATGAGGCTGAATTTTGGGTTCAGGTGCATGACATTCCCTATGATTTTATGAATTTGGGAGTTGCTAGGAGGATTGGGAACTTTATTGAAGAATTTATCAACTTTGATAATAACCAGTTTGATAAAAAAAATGGAAGCCCTATATGAGGATTAGAGTTTGTTTGGATGTGGGGAAGTCATTAAAGGTGGGTACCACTCTCATGAAGGGACAGGGTGAAGGGCACTGGGTTGACTTTAAGTATGAGAAGTTGTCTATCTTTTGTTTTTCATGTGGTATTATAGGACATGTTGGCAGGTTCTGTCCCCTGGTTTACGAAAACATATATGTGGATACCAACAAGCAGTATGGGGTCAGCTTACATGCAGGAGGAGGGGGGAAAGCTTGTTGGGGGGGACAAATGGCTAGTTCCAGAAGGATCAAGAGATGGAAGTATGGCAGTCCGAGAGGATGGAGAGAGAGCTGGTCCGAGCAGGCAAGGATGGGAACTTTCTTTGGCTGGGAACATTAAGAGCCGGACGGAGGATGAAGAAACAACGGCTGTGGATGGCACAAGTGGAGAGCCAAAACATAGGAGGACATGGGAAGAGGATAGTGGTGAGAGGGACGAGGGGAAAACATGGCCTTGGACGACCCAAAAAACGGAGAGGGGACGGGTTTAGGTACCTCGATCCGCCGAGTACTCTGAAGATGCTCTTAAGAAACGGGTGCTGGTGCTCGTTCGTGTGTTTCAGGATGCAAGTTAATTTCCACGGTTTTACTTTTTTTATTTTCATGCTATGCGATCAGACTTTATTTTTTTTTCCTTTACTGTTGTTTCGATTTGTCAAACTCTTACATTAGGTGGGGGTGATGAGGGTTTTGCTCGGGCCACGTTAGGCTCATTTAGACCCAATATAGGATCAACGAATCATATTACTCTGGCTAGGGTGATTGGTTCTCCAGCTGGTTCGAGGGTCGGTGGCTTGAAGTGTTTCCTTTATCGTTTGTGTCCCTTGCTGAATGTCTTATTATCAATATAAGCCTCCATGTTACAAAAAAAAAAGTAGTTTTAGAGTATGTGTGGGAGCTCAGAGAGAATGGGGAGGAGAAGGTTTTGAAGGTTAGTCCTAGGAAGGGAAGAGAGAGTAAGGGGAGAACTGTTCTTTTTGTTTGGGAATTAACAAATTTAAATAGTGAATTTAATTAGTTGAACTTTTATTTATTTTAAGTTAAGCCATAATCATCATTTAATTGGTTATCTTCCAAAATTCCTCAATTTGGGATAACTTAATAATTGAGTATTTGAAAGGTTTTGAAGGGTTACAAGAACCCTTCAAAATCATTCCTTTCAATTTTTTAAACTCTGAAACAAGAAAAGAGATGTTATGAATCCTCCCTATGCTTTTCCTTCCCTCCAAAACATAACACTCAAGCATACCTTTAGGGTATGTTTGGGAGTTCAGTTTTGGAGGGAAGGGAAGGTTGACAATGGTTTATGACCCTCCCTTACATATCTGGGAGTTTAAAAATATGAAGAGGATGGTTTTGGAGGGCTTTTGTAACCCTCCAAACCCCTTAAAATCCAAAACATTTTAAATGCTCAATTTTTAAGCTCCTCCAAATTGGAAGATTTTGAATGATAACTAATTAAATAACAACTTTAGCTCAATTTGAAATAAATGTAAATTCAATTATTTGGATTCAATTTTGCAACTTCCAAACAAGAAGAAGGGTTTCCTCTCCTTCTGCACCCTTTGCCCTCCTAGGACTAACCTTCAACGTCTTCCCCTCCCCTTCCCTTCAAACTCCCAAACATACCCTTAGAAAATTGTTTAGAAGGGTTAGAGGGAAACGAAAGAAATTTTTATTTTTGTTTTGGGATTTATATATATTTGGAAAGAGATGGACTATGAAGCAATTCGTGATGTCTATTTAAAATTTAAATGAGTGTAGCTACTCCCCCACCCACACACTTTCCCTTTATATGAGTGTAGCTCCTTAAGGTGATAATTTTCTTGTATAAAATAGATGTGAGCCCTTTTTATGGAGGCTTTGGTCTGTGGAGGAAAAATTGTCGGAGGGATTGTTTGGGTATCAAAGGGAATGTGTGTCGGTGGGGGTTGGGGTGGGGGAGGAACTACACTCATTTAAATATTAAAGCCCAACATCCTGGATTTTGATATTAGGGAGTAATAGTAGTGCTTCACTGCTTTGTAAAAGTTCATTTCTTACTTCTTACTTTCTCAGTAGCTAAATAGCCTTTTTCTAATAAAAACATTACGCCATTACGGTATTACTAATACTTTCAATATTACTACTCTAATGTTTTAAGAACAATAAAATAACATAAACTAAAATAACTTTTCATATATCAATTATCAAATATATGTAATTGTAATCAGTTCCCTGTTGAACCAAACATAAACTACTTTGTAATTAGAAATATACTCCGTATCTTGCAATTAACTACAACCATAAAAGAAATAAGTAAACAGCCAAATGAATGAATTTTTGATCTGCTACCGACCTGATTTTTCAGTAACAAATATTCAAATTATGTTTGGCAATCAACATTGAAATGT